ACCATAAAATCTTGTACTCTGACTTCTAATGCAGTGTGTGGGAAGAACTGCAAGCTTGGAGCTTACCCTGAAGGTATGGTAGGCATGTGTAGACCATGTTCAGCTTGTTGTAACGACGGGAACGATATCTTCGAGCCACAATGCCAAGTGCCAAGGGTGCCAAAAAATAAACAGTGCAGTGAGCTGAGATCAGAAAAGTGCAGCAAGAAGATAGCTTCTGTGAGAGTCAACACAACGGTGGAGGAGAATCACCCAGCGTCATCACCATCAACCCACACAGGATTACGAGTGTCTTCCTCGGTCACAAGGCGCGTTGCACAGGATTCAGCCTCCACGAACGATGTGTCTTTATCAAATAGTGCGATAATTGGTGTTGCAGTTGGCGTTCCAGTAGCGATCTTGATACTAGCAGCGGTTATCTATGTCGTAAAAACAAGGTGCAAATGTCCAGAGGATTTGCATACTATGGAGGCCAAAAAAGAGAATGGTGAATGCAATAGAAAAGATGAGCATAACAAAGCGGTGTCTCGGCTGCAGGAAAGTAATACTCCCATAGGAGGGGTGCAGGAATCACAACCACCGAGTACACATAGCAGTAAGGGTGAAGTCTCAGAAATAATAAATACGTTCACTAGATTTACGGTGCCTGAACTAATTGAACAACGTAGTGCCAACCTACAGTGTTAATCATTTGTGATTCATTTCCATGTTTGATGACGTCAGAAGCTACTAGTGTCGTCAAGTATTTAAAACGTTGACAACGTCGGTGACAACGTACTGAAGTAAATTTTGTTGCTGAAGTTTTGACCACATAGGAACTGCTCTGAACGACAAAGCCTTTTATCATTTTGATTATAAAGTAGTGCGATTAATTTTTAAAAATGTATCAGGTGGATTGTGGATAAAATAATGGTAGTCTTACCGAGTGGAGTGCAATTTGTTCTGAAATCATATAAGTTATTTCAAATCGAACAAGCGTGCAGCGCGAGTTTGATTTGAAATCACTAGTATGATTTTAGATCGGTGGTTTTATTTTAGTTAAGCTTCCTCATTTGTTCGGAAAAGAAGCGATTAAGATAAAAAAAATGGTGCAATTCGTGAATAATTCGCACTGATGAGAGCCAATCAGATTGCAAGGTTCATCAGGGATCTCAAAATGGATGTAATAAAGAGGATTACAATGGCTTTTTGATGATCGATCAAACGATATTGACATTTGAATCTCACATGGTTTTTATTCTGGTTCTTTAGTTTTATACCGCGAGCCCCTGGATTCCACTCAAGGATCACACCCGTCGCCTGAAGCCTACTGTCCACCAATGATCCGAGGAACTGGTCATTATTTATCGCCTGAGGGAGAGAGGTCGGGGGACTTTGGTTGTCGATCAACATGAACTTTACCTGATCAATCAATCAATCAATCAATCAATCAATCAATTAGCCAATAAAACTTTTTTTAAAGAGGGTGACTCTTAATAGTTAGGAACCAATGAGCTTGTGGCTCTCTATAAACATTATTACAATTAAGAAAAAAAACCTATTATAATTAATAACCTAATTAAGAATTTAATTACAACCGAATTAAAAATTATAACATACAACAAATCAAGATCTAAAAGTTAAAGGTGAAACATTTTGCGCATATCATGCAATTTGAGAATAAATTTTTATAATAAATTATAAAAAAGTCTTATGCTTGAGCTGACTTTATTTAAAATGTTTATACAAAGTATTCTTCAAAGTATTTACAGACTGAGAAGCGCGTAGCTCAAAGGGGAAGGTGATTCCAACGTCTCAAGGTTGTTGCAGGAAACGTGCAGTCTCCCTCTTTCTCTCTAATGTATCTTCTAGGTAAAATGGTTAAATTAGCACCTCGTGTATTTCTGCTGTGCTGGCTGTTGTTTGGTTCTAATTGTACGTTTATATAGTCAGGGCGAGTACCCATAATCCTCTTGTGGGCCATTAAGCATCTTTTGATGTCAGACTCGATGTTATATGGCACCCACCCTAAAATATTACTAGATCCACAGTGCCATGGCGTTGTCGGGCGTCAGGGATGATTCGAGCACAGCGTTTCTGCAGCTTAAATATCTTATTTATATAATCATGACTGCAGCAGCTTGTCTTGGTGGATTTTGTGGCTACTTCTTCATATAAGATGCAAAGTTTCGTTTCTCGTCGAGATGAGAGAGTGAGTGTGTAAACGAGTTTAAGAATAGAATTCTGATCTTGACCCAATTTGACCCGATGTTTCCCGGTCCTACTTATTGTTTTTTTTTCTCAGCAGTTTGACATTCGCACTCGATACGCAGTTTTCTGGCTTTCTTGCCGTGACACTACGGAAGACAACAGAAGACGGTAAACATCTCACTACCATTTCAAGATTGCGCGCGATTAGTCGATAAAAGAAGTTTTCCTTGCAGAAACATCTTAATAGGTGTGGTTGACGCATCATGGAAGCTTTGAGGAAAAAAAAAATTTTTTCTTTGAAAAGAGAGCATTTAACCGATTGAATCAGCGACTTAAGCCGCTATATTTGCGAAGAGAGCAATGGTAGATGGTGGAACGGAGGTACGATGGATCGGCGGAATGGCGGAATATCTTAAGACGTTAGAAACTAGAGCCAGGCACAATTCAAGTCCGAGCAGCCAAGGAAAAACGAAAGCGCCTTCTCGTTTCGCTCCGGTTTGTACAGAGGAAGTTTTACCAATAAACGCAGAAACCATACCCAAGCTCAAATATTTTGACAAACTATTAGCCTACCTGTAGCCGTACCATCCCCTCCCCGCTAAGGCAAGCTTTCGCCTCACCTTGGGGGGGGGGGGTACAGCTACATGTAGGCTTATCAAAATACAATTCCTTGTTTACGAAAACTGGGAACACTATATTTACAATCAGAAGCTTATAAACAGTCAAAGACTATGGCTTTAGTTTTTTCAATCTTGTTTACTTTTCACAGCGTCTATAATCGGTTGTAAATTTTTACAATATTTTTAAAATACTGCTCGAACCACAAAGTCCATATTTGGCCAAAAATTGCATCTATGTTCTGTATTAAATGCTGCTGAATACATAACGATTGAACAAATGACACCGGAACAACTACATAAGTTATCTGTCCGCGAGCGTGAGGGAATTTCTCAGTAATTTATAAAAATGGTAATTTTTCGTTGACCATGTTAACAAAGGTACGGTTTTATTATTCGCCGCCGGTTCAACCTTAGCCCCGCTGCCCAAGGTACTCTCGTCAACAAATTAATTCTATAAATTCTAGAAGGCGTTTTTTCCTCTTTGTCGTAAGAAAGCAAAGGTTCCCTTTCACATGTCACTGGTCCTTCTCTTCGTCTAGACTCTTACTTATCAAGTAGGAAATTAAAAATAAATTCGAAAGCAGACCGACCAGAAATCAACTATGTAGAGTACTCGTCGGTCAAGTGATCACTCTCATTCCTCAAATTTAATTGTCTTCTATTCAATAATCAAGATAATATATTTAGCGTACAATACTCGTAATCAGTTATTTTACTTTCACTTAGGAGAGTAGATTTACGGCATGATTGGAAGTTCCTTACAGCAGTGACGCTATGTGACCTTATGTAACGCAATACACTACATCCTTCCCGGGCAAAGTTCTTAGGCTACTACTGAAATCATAATTGATTATTTCTAAACATTTTTAAAAATTTAATAATATACAAAGTTTTCATGGTCCCTTGTGGACTTAACTGTGCGTCTGGACTGGGTTGTTACACTCGTTTCATTTTGAGTAGCTTGACTATCGGGATGATCATTTCCCATACAAGCATCAGAATTGCTGTAACTTGTCTCACGAGAGTTAGCATTTGTTTGACTTAAAGTCAGCACTTCCTCTACAACGAGGTCTCCTATGTGAACATATTATATAACCTCCAATGATCAAAGCCAGAAAACCACATAGAAAATACTATATCATATTCACAACAGATTCAGATGTTCTTCCTAAAACATACTTTGGAATACCAACGGATAAATGTCGATGGCTGGTCACACATTAATCATGAGTGCGATCTCGCCGACCTTAATGCTTGCCGCCTAAGGGATTAAATCACGTGAAATTTACCCATCTCACTTTTATAACTCGCCCCTCCCAATCACTTTGTTGGTTAAACAGTTGGGATTCAAAGAAATGTTTCACAACTCTTTCTGATAACAGTACTACCTTTTTCCAAAGACTTGAAAGAAGAGCTCGGGTGCCTTATTTGAGGAAATACGGAATCTAAACATTTGGTACAGTATTCTCTCAAACAATTCGACCCTCTGGTCCCTTTAGTGTCATTTTAAACTGCGATATCTCGTTGCGGTTCAATGTGTCAGATTCGCTACTCACGCCAGAACATCTTACTTTGCTTTACTCAGGTGGTGGCGCTTAAACTGGAACGATAGAGCCCCAGTGGCACCGATCTGAATAGTCTTAATTTTGTAATTTGCGATGTCTTCCTTGCGACCGCGCGTCATACCATGCATCACCACGATGTTTTTTCTCTGGATGTATGTCTCCGCCTCGCCAACATGCCCAGGTAACAATATAACCATCCGGGATTCAGTAACGAGGCATATTCAGTGCCAGAAATGCCTCGTATGTCCAGCGGGGCAGGGTCTCTCTGTGGACTGTGGTGATGTAATTACACCACAGACAGCCATAGTTTGTAAGCCGTGTGAACAAGGGATGACTTATTCATCCAAAAGCGAGGCTGGTGCATGCAAGACTTGTACGAATTGTGGAGAATATCGAGAGACCATAAAATCTTGTAGTCTGACTTCTAATGCAGTGTGTGGGAAGAACTGCAAGCTTGGAACTTACCCGGAAGGTATGCTCAGCACGTGTAGACCATGTTCAGCTTGTTGTAACGACGGAAACGACATCTTCGAGCCACAATGCCAAGTGCCAAGGGTGCCAAAAAATAAACAATGCAGTGAGCTGAGATCAGAGAAGTGCAGCAAGAAGATAGCTTCTGCAAGAGTCAACACAACGGTGGAGGGGAATCACCCAGCTTCATCACCATCAACCCACACAGGATTACGAATGTCCCCCCCGGTCACAAGGCGCGCTGCACAGGATTCAGCCTCCACAAACGATGTCTCTCTATCAAATGGTGCGATAATTGGTGTTGTAGTTGGCGTTGTATTTGTGGTTTTGATCCTGCCAACGGTTATCTATATCGTAAAAACAAGGCGCAAATGGCAACCATGTGAAAAGGCTGATGATAAGGATCGGGAAATGCAACATGCCACGGAGGCCAAAGAAGAAAGTGGTGAATGTAATAGAAAAGAAGAGCGTGACGAAGCAGGGTCTCTGGAGCCTCGCATAGGAGGGGTGGAGGAAACAGGACAACCGGGTCCACATAGCAGTTCAGGTGAAGTCTTAGAAGTAATATGTAAGGTCACTAGATTTACTGTGCCTGAACTAATTGAATAACGAAAGATAGAGGCGAAACGATCAGATGACAAAAATGTAGTGCCAACCTACAGTGTCAATCATTTGTGGTTCATTTCCATGTTTAATGACGTCAGAAGTTCTTAATAACATCGGGGGTCAAAAACAGATTCGGTAACAACGTGCTGAAGTAAGTCATGTTGCCGAACGTTGGACGACATGGAAACTGTTCAACGAAGAGCATTTTATCGTCTAGAGTAGTGCGACTAATTTTTAAAAAGATTTTCAGGTGGATTATGGATAAATAATGGTAGTCGTACCGAGTGGAGTGCAATTCGGTCCGAAATCATACGCGTTATTTCAAATGGAACAAGCGTACACCGCGAGTTTGATTTGAAATCACAAGCATGATTTCAGAAAAAAATTGCACGACACGAATTTCAGTCACCACTTTATTATATCCATTTTAGAATCGCAAAACTCAATCCCAACATGCAGGATTTTTGAGTCTGTACGAGTATTTATTGATGCAGTCCTGAGTTGGTTCGTAAAATTTGTTAAAGTTCTTTCATTTTCGTGCAGTTTGATTGGTTACTTTACACAAGCCTTGAAATCTGATTGGTTGTTTTTTTTGGTGAAGCTTTCTCATTTGCTTGGAAAAATATGCGATTAAGAGCAAAAAATGGTGCAATTCGTGAATAATTCGCACTGATGAGAGCCAATCAGATTGTAAGGGTCATCAGTGATCTCAAAATAGATGCAATAAAGAGGATTACAATGGCTTTTTGATGGTCGATCACAAACGATATTGACATCTGAATCTCATATGGTTGTTATTCTGGTTCTTTAGCTTTAGACCGCAAGCCACTGGATTCCACTCAAGGATCACACCTGTAGCCTGAAGCCCAATGTCAACCAATGATTTGAGGAACTGGTCATTATTTATCGCCTGAGGAAGAGGGGTCGGGGGACTTTGGTTGTCGGTCGACATGAAGTTTACCTGATCCCCCCCAAAAAATCCTCTGATCCCACTAACATTCAGGCGATGAAGAGTGACTGGTCTGTAACGTCAAACGTCAGAATTAAAAGAAAGAAAATTAAATTGATTTTGTAATATTTGGTGTCCTAATGTTTTATTAAGGGGATCTTGGTTGGTTTTTTGATCCTTTCCCTAATATTTTTTTTTCTTCAGCGTCAAGGAAGGCCCAAGCGATTTGCCAGCTTAACTAAGTAATGAAGGAAGGTGATGGCTTTTACAGCTAACGTTTAAAATTTTGGCCGTTTTACCGCTAACAGTTAACTTCTTTCCTTTGTGATTAAATTTAAAAATTTTAACATAAACTTTTTCATGACTAATAGCTAAAATTTGGTAATTTTAACGCCTAAAGGCCAAATTTTTTGGGGCAGTTTTTCGGTTAACGACTAACCCCATAGTGACCCCATAAAGGGGAGTTGGTTACCCCAACATAAGAGTTTCAGAAGCACAGAAGACCACATCCTTGCGTGCTCATTCGTGATTTGTCTAAGTTTCAAGCTATCTGGAAAATTTTCCGTTATATCAAAAAACAATATCCAATATTTCTCAGTGGTTTTCCCGCCATCTTGATCGCTTAGTTGTTGCCATGGCATCATCATCATACATATCACGTGACTTTTGCTGTGCAGCCATGACAGTACAAAACAGAACAAGGCCGTGAAGTGATAAATAAGTTTTGTGATACTTTAAGGTTTTCTGCGGATTCCTGAATTTTATACGGATCAGATTTATTTCTTGGAATGACAATTGGTTCAAGGATGTCTTACGACGCCTCTTACGTGAAGGCTAGGAAGAAGTAAGTGGAATTTAATGCATAGGAGTACTCATATTAGCAGTGCTTTAATGTAATTAAAATCCCATAGCCTATCCTTACTAATGCACAGATTTGATCAAAAGTTTTTATTCCTGTAAGTTTACGAGGATTTTTAGGGATCGTCTTTAAAAATACGAAATTGTTTATTTTAATATTTGGTTTGCAAACTTGATTTTAGTCAGCTTACCGTCGCTGATGTTTTCGTTCATCAATTTTACTTCAGATTTTCCGGTATTATTTTAACTCGATCTGACGAAATGTTTCATCGTCTTAAATGAACGGGAAGTGTATTAAACCTAGTCTTGAAATCTCTTTCTTGGAAGTTTTGATGGCAACAACGATTTTCTGTTCACTGCGATAAAAAAAAGAAGAAAAAAAACGGTTTGCAACAACAGTCATGCCAAAATTGAGGAATTAAGGAGGATTTAACTTCAGTCTTCCTTCTTCTCCTTCCAAGTGTCCGCCTACTTTAGAAATAATACGTCCAATCATTTCAGAAGTCTCTAACATGGACTGTAAAGCTAACTGGAGCCAAAAAAGTCAAGAAACTTGACGTTTTTTTTTTATTTTTTGTCTAGTTCAACATATTCTCCATTGTCTTCCTCAAAAGCACCTGCGCTTAACAAGAGGGGCTACAATCCTTTAACTGCACTGCAGTTCCCATTGTAGTTTCATTGCTGTGAGTCCAAATGAAATCTGAAAAGATGGCAGTTATAGGCCTTATTAGCAGGAAGATCCCTGGTAACCAGCTTTTATAGAAACCTCAGTAATTGCCCTTTATGCAGGGAGTGGGTATGACAGTATAACATGGATCTGGGTTGTCCAGGGGTTTTATTAAATGCTGGTTACTGGAAGTCTATTGTTGCTTATAAGACCTCTTAACACCATCAATTTAGCTTGTGAGCAAGCTTTTGTCTTTGAGTTTAGTTTTACGACCCTGTTCTGGTCAAATCTGCCTATTACACTGTTGGCAGCAGCTAATGGAAAAAGTTATGGAAACCCCTGGGTACTTCATTCTGGATTGAGGAGTTTCTCCTTTTAATGGTCTTGATACTATATGCTGAAGTTTCTTCTCTGATAATTAATTGTTATTGGTTTTTTTTATGGAAGGGCTGTGAAACAGCTTAAAAACAGCAATGCACAGCAGTTGGAAATTGAAACACTGAAAATGGAAGAAAGGATACGTGCTTTGAAAGAACAAATGTTTAAAGAAAAAGAGGAAAGAGAGTGAGTTTTGACTTCTGATCATACATGGAGTACTGTTCAAGTCTTTAATCACACTGCCCTTTACTTTCTGATAGGAAGATAACCACCCATTATTTTAGAGAAGAAACTAAGTGCCAACTTTGAGACAAGTAAATAATTGTGTATGATTTCTTCTCATTTTCATACTTGGCTGTAAAGGTTATCAATCATATTTGATTTCAGTGCTCAAATGTTTGGTTAAGCCATTCAGGCTTCTGTGGAATTTGTTTAGAATCTTAGATTACCTAACTTGTCATCTTAAGGGAGTTCTATTGTTCAAAATTCTTGTTTCTTTTTTCTAATATTTACTTTTCAGGTTAAAAAAAAAAACTTCTATTTCACCCCAAAGTAAACAAACCATATCTTTCTGAGTGAGTGTTGGCCCAAAATTTATAGACACAACCAAATACTTAATATGCAAATAATTTCATAGTTATTCAAAGGCAAGTGATACATACAATCTTGAAACTTTTGATTGCCTTTCCAATGTTGCCCAGATTGCATGCCACATGACAATCCAAGGCTATTCACCTTCAATATACCAAATTTCCAACATGACTCAAAATCACACTTGTATATTTTATTTGCCTGTTATAATTCTCCCTCTTAAACAAAGATTTGGTGAATTCAAAGGAAAGAATAGATAAACCACAAGGTGCACTTAAATATTATTTGGTTGAGAAAAGAAATATACAGGCACTATAGAAGTTGTGCTATAGTTATTACAATAATTATAGTTATTTTGGCTGTCTGTCCTTGTTGTAGATAAATTTAAAGATGTTCCTTTTCTTTTTTCTTTTGGTGCAGAAAGCAAGGTGGTATACGATGGGCATCTGGCAAATCAGGACCTCTTAATAGTCATGCACAAGATGTGCTAAAGAAAAAGAACTTGAAAACTGATAAAGTAGGTGATTAGAATCTATCTGGAAACTGTTTTGTGCAAACTTTTGATTTATAGGGGTTGTGGTAGCATTTCATTTTTTTAGTGGATCCATTTAACACATGAATAAGTCTAGAATTTGTTACAGTATGGGCCTACATGTGATAGAGACAAGTCCCTTTACAACATGAATGACAATGGAGAGGTTGTGATGTAGACAGATAGGGGTGCAATATAATGAATATTTTTTTGAAGGGTTAAAAGTTTGAAATAAGACTGTATGGGGAATGTCTCCCTCTAGAAAGTTTTTGCCTGTTAGGGAAATGCCCATTGCAAAGGATTGTCGTTTTTGATTTCTTGTTTTATTTGTATGTTAACAGACTCCAAAGAAAATAAAGATTCTTGGGGATGAACCTTTGCGTAAGTATGGTCTAAAAATGACTTCTTAAGGATTCTGTTTATCAAAATCTCAATTGAATATGATGTAACGATCTTTGCTGTGATGAACACTACCTAAGTAGCAATGAAAGTAAGGCCAGGAAAGAATGCAGGCTTGTATCTGTGCAATACTGATACAGTACTCTACTTCACCCACAGAGGTCATGGGTTCAAATCTGGTACAGGCCTGAATTTTTTCCAGGTCTTACTTTCACTACTGCTTAAGTAGTGTTCATCACTGAAATGATTGCTTTCATACTCATTTCTTAATCTGCAGTTCTCATATATTATTTTCATATATTCACAGTCATTTAAAATCTCAATTATCAACAAAAGATTAAATGCATAGACTCACTTAAAAACATTGTATGTTTTTCTTTAAACTTCAGACTCTTACAAGAAGAAAGTAACTCCAAGAGTCCAGCAACAAGACAACTTTGGCACATCAGGGTGTGGCCAGTGCGAGAGGACAAAGGCAACTTTGGTACATAAATTTCTTTTTTAAAACCTTCATTTTACCTCTCAGAAACTGTTTTCTGCTTTCATTAAGCACCTATTGTAGCAGTGTTTCCTATGAAAATATTACTTCATTTGCTGTACTTAAGTTCCTAGTTAGTTTTAAAGGGTTTTCAAGACTTATTTTATGTAACACTCATTGAAAAAGCTATTGTAAGTGTAGTGGTTAGCTCATTGTGTTTGACTTATTTTTGCAGGTCTGCATTGAGTGCGAGGAAAAGTACTGTGTTAGTTGCTTTATGTCATTCCATCAGAAAGGTGCTCTTACCAAACACACCACACAGTCCCTTGAACAGGTACAGCACTATCTCTTTCACTATTTTTTCTTTTTCACTGTTACAAGTTTATTCTATCGATAACAATAGAAATAAGTTTCATGTGACCGGCGGATGAAAATCAGTCATAGAAACAGTCCGGGCTGGTGGACAGCAATTTTAGCAATTGCAGAAAGAAAGTGTGAAAAATTTAATTCTATAGGTAGCTTTGGAATTATTGATTTTTCAACTGCTTACTTTTTCAAAAGATATTTTTATGGATGAATTTTTAATAATTTTTATTGTGCCTTGAATATTGTAATCTTTTATTGGATGATGTTTTATTTATTAAAGTTACTTTGTTTATTATTGGTTTTGGTTTTATCCTTGTTCCAGTATGAAGCAGAGCTACAGATCGAAAGAGACAGTGACTATACAAAGCATGAAATAACATCTTCAATGAGTACTTCAAGGTACACAATTTTCATATTCTATTCAATGATTTAAACACCTTAAGATCAAGGTTTACTGCATACTGAAAACCACAGTTTCAAGGTTGCCTTGTGTAAATTGGAATATAACAATTTTTTTGTCTTTTTTGTAGGTTTTCCAGCGGTGATCAGGCTAGATCTTCTCAGGTAGGTGGCATTAAATGTTCACAGTTTTAAACCCCAAATTACTTTTATAACATTATGTAAGCTTTGACTAGTTCTAATTCAGAAGCTAAATTTCGGCCTTAAATACACTCACACTCTCAAATTCAGGCCTGGTATAACAAATCTTTGTCTCTTTCAAGGATTAACACAGCACCAGTGTCTACATAATGATGGTTTTAAGAAGTAAATTTGTTAAAAAACTTGCTGAAAATTTACTTGTCACCAGCATGGGACCAAGAAAAACTTAGAGTCCAAGTGAAGATTTGTACCTCAGCTAATTTAAATCCAGCTTAGGTTTTTTATCAACTGAGCTGAAGAGAACTGTTTGACAGGCTACTCTATATACTCGGTTCATACGTGAAAAATGTTTTGCAAACTACCTTGGTTCTGTTTTGCAGATGAATAATTCAAGAGGAAAGGGCGGGGGAGCATTATTACAAGGCTCATACAACGAAGAAGAAAGCGCACAATCGTTTGCACAGGCTCTCATGGAATGGAGAAATTCTGGAAAAGAGGAGAAAATGCAGAAGAATCCGACAAATGCAAAAAGTATGCGAATTTTGTTTGAGTCCTTTCTTCACCTTGTGATAGGTTGTAGCTGATAAGAATGGCTGGATAAGCTAATTAGCTTTAGGTCCAGCCTGATGAAACTCAAAATCGCTCGCCTACTTTATGAACAGATGTACAGTAGTAAAATGGGAGAGTTACAGATTAGATCATCGGTTTGAAAGGGGTGTAAGGAATGCATAATTTTGCAATGATTTTCCGAGCGGCTTTCTTCGTAATTTATCAGGCAGAAGTAGTTATCTTGACTTAATATTTACATGGAAATGTATAGCAGTTACAGGAGAGAATTCACAATCAGATCTTGGGAGTTAAAGGGTTAACTGACTGACATGTTCATCCCAATGTGCTTCTTAATTTCAGGCAGCTCTTGTGAGACAGGTACTACCCCACAACCAACCAGACACCAAGAAGTGAAGGTCAATTTTGGACCGAACAAGTCATTAAGTTATCTTGACCGCATGCTGCTCAAGAAACTCCAAGGCGATCAAACGTTTGGCGGTCCACAAGCACCTTCTAAAGGAAAGAAATACAACAGTTCAGAACTGTCATTAAATACGAACAGTGATACCAGTGAAAGTCCAAAGAATGAAAACCAGCTGGGAACGAATTACAGAGAAATTTTCCAAAGCCTTGGGGCTCCGGACAGGAAAGCTAGCCAAGAAAATTTTCAAATGCCACCCAAAAGTGTGATTTCTATTGAAGAAGTGAACGACGCTGATTTGAGCGGAGAGGAGACAACTGCCTGTATAGTCGAGGAAGAGGACTTTAACCCCCACCCCCAGCTTAGGCCTTTGTCACGCACCGGTAGGCTCAGCGTTATGTGTATGACCCCCACGGGGAGGTTCGAAGCTAATACAGACGCGCTGGTGGTAGAGGATATAGCATCGGTACCCGCTCAAAGTCTCGCTTTGGGGCAGGCCACGCCCCGTTCAAAGCAGACATTACGTAGTACAAGTTCTCGTCAGGGACTCCATATGAGAACAAAATCACAACTTGATGGGTCGGTAGGGAGAGTGTGGAGTCCTCAGCCCCATCATGTTGGTTTGTCGGAGTTTTTCCTCGCTGGTGTCCGGGGTGAATCGGTTTCAGGGAGAACGTCTCGCGAAAGGAAGACCATCTTTGACCCAGTGTTAGTGAAACCCGAAAGATTAAGCAAAGCTCTGTTATCACAACATGTATGGAAACCACAAGAAAGCGTGTTTTCTAGTAACGATATTGACAGGTCAAATAAGCAACAGCAACAACCACAACTGGGTAAAGATGATGATAAGGAAGCCCGCACAGACAGCCCTCGCCCTGTTATACCTCTTTTACGAGCACCAGAGTTGCTGGAGACAAGAAACGATAGACCAGATTCACAGTCATCTACGATAGTCCCACCCACGGCAAGTGACTCCGGATTCACGAATGATACTATGATTCACGACTTTGGAATCGTAGATTTCCTCAGGGCTCCACCATACCTGCCCAAAGGCTTTGAAGATTATAGTCAAGTACATCGTGTTTCCACAGTTTCTCCACTGACTCTCAGCCCAAACCCTCCAAGTTTTCATTGGTCGGATGATAGCGATGACGACTTTCTCGCACAGGTCTGCTTCCAAGGAAATCAAGATGACCAGCGAGCGGACCAAGACGAGGATGACCGCGCCACCTTGACTAACCTGGCCTGGGAATTAGCCTCGACTACAGGCCGGTTGACGCAGTGTGAATTAGACGACAAGGAAGGGGAGGGTGAGGAGGAATTTGACGAGGACAGTATTGAGAGTAATGACTTTGGGTCTGGGTTGAGTTCAAGCGAAGAAGACAATACCTCAGCTGATACTTACAGTGCAAATGTTGACAGTGTAAAACACAACGACGATAATACTTTAGCGGAAGAAGAAGTACATGCCTTGGAGTAAATTTCAAAGGTTTTCGTTTTCACGGTTTTTTCGTTTTTCTCCTAGTAGATAGATACCACAACTTATGTTTTGACACACTCCATCATGCTTATCGATCAGCTTTTGACGAAAAAGGAAACAAAAGAGGAAAAAAAATGATAAAAAGCAGAAAATTAGGGCGCTTTTCGATTGAGTGTCGGCCTTAGAAGGTTAGACTGAACCCGTAGTCACGTGAAACAAAATTAACCAATCACATCGTTGGAAACGAACACTAATAGAACTAAGGACCATTGCCAGCAAAGGTCACAATGAGTGTAGAAGAAATTTGTTGCTCTTTTCCTATTAGTATTGGCCAGTTTTGCGTAATTGACCCCGATAACGGAAGTTGCGCTGTAAAATAGCCAATAAGACATGCAACAACAAATTTCATCTGATTGTTGGTTAGGCTTAACTAGCGGAATCACACACCATCTGAAACAAAACCACAGTTAATAAGTATTGTTTTCGACACTCAGTCTTATCTAGCTCTGTTAAGCTCTTTACAGAGTTTTCTATTATTTGTTGAAGTGGCGGAGCAAAAATCTTAACGTGTGGGCAACTGTAGGCAGGGTTCAACTCTTTCATTCCCAAGATCACTTAAGTAATTCTCCTTACTGTCTACCATACGATTGTTGATGTTAGTGCGGAGAATTTGATATTAGATCAGTAATTAATCCCCTAATTTATACTTTTATTAATTTTCATCACTTGTCTGCGTCATGTTGTATTGATATTGTAAGGAAAAAAATTTGTCTTGATCACTCGTAGGAGTCAAAGAGTAACATTTACCTTTGAAATAAGGAGTTGTTGGAAGAAAAAACAAAGTTTTGGCTGAAATGTTAGCTGGCGTTGTATGTTGTATTTATTTATTGTCACCTTTTGGTGTACAGTCGAGTTAACTGTGTTGAAAAGATAACGTGCCTAACAGTTGCAGTCACGTTCTTGTTCCTTTTTTGTAATATGTACTTGTATTTGAAATGGGGCACCGGACGGTAAGTTAATCGGCTCGGATTCAGGGCCTTAAAACTAAAAGCCAAGTAATTCTCGTTCGGCCCCTCCTTACTCAGTCAACAAGAAATTTATCACATGACCGCCGCGGTTTCTCTTCGTCTCTTTTTCCATTTTGCATCTCGTGGGGCCGTATGCTGGGTTAAGCAGCTTTTTCTGGCCTTTTTCTGGTTCGTTTTTTTATAAATGTGCGCGCGGGACAGTAGGTGTCATATGACAAATGGAGTTACTACTGTTAAGTAATTAATCGCCGAAGGCGAAGTAAATATTGTTAAATAATCCTAGGGACGTAGTCTCTGAGATTATTCAGTAATGTTCAATGAGCCTGAGGTGAATAATTGTTTCTGTTAAATTGTTCAGCTACTTTCGAGTTCTGTTGTAAATCGTTTTGTTGTTGAAACCATTCTGTTACAACTAGAATTGAACAGGTTTATATAGTTCGATTAGCAGAAACTTCATATCTTCCTTTTGAAAAGTGTTACCCCAAACTTAGAAGTATCTTTCGTGCTCTTCAGAACT